TTATTTTTATTTGACAATATATTTTTTTCCCTAAACCTAGCACATACCGAACCGTACCGAAACCGTGACTAAAACCGTGATACAAACCGAACCGTGAGTAAGTTGAACCGTTGCATCCCTAGTACAAACGTCACGGGGGATTTATCATTAACACTTGTTTCTCTGGGTAATGTTATATGAAGCACCATTAATTCAAACTAATTATACTTGAAACCAGACCTCTGAAAAATACTGAAAACATTACTATGAATTGTAGCAACACCTCCCCCTTTACCTTTTGGATGTGGCTCATGTTTATAATAGTAATCTTGGGGGTAGACTCATTTAAAATTTACAAAGCAGAAGTGATGGTTCTACCATATTTGTAACAAGGAGTTGAGTTTGCAGCTTTAGCTATATGGAGTATATACGAGACTAGATAATGATCCGAGATATCATCATTCCGCTGCAGAATTTCAATGCAATTAACATCAATTCCATGTGACATTATTAAATCTAAAGTATGAGTACGACAATGAGTAGGTCCTGACACGTGTTGTCTGACCCCAGTAGAGTTCAGAAAATCAGCAAATTCTTTGATAAATGCTGATCCATGCATCTTTTTCATTATCAAAACATGGATAATAAAATCACCAACAATTAAGACTTTATCTGCTGCCAGCACTAACTCAGTTAGAAAATCAGCAAATTCTTTGATAAAGTCTGTATGGTGGCCTGTAGCCAGTACAAACTAGGGGTGCAACTGTTCTCGGTAAAAAATCTAACCGTACCGTTCTCCACACACGGTTCGACATACACTAGGACCGCGGTTCAACTTAAATCTGACAATGCATCTGTAATATGGTTTGTTAGAGTTTGGCTAATGCATGTTTCTGTTGATGGATACAAATTCTGGCTTCCCAATACATTACAACAAGAGCGATGAATGTTTATAATAGTAATCTTGGGGGTAGACTCATTTAAAGTAATGTAATCATCTGGTTTTAGCCAGGTTTCTGCCAAACAGAGCACATCTAGGATATGATCTGCGATCATATCATTTACAAAAAGTGCCTTCATAGAAAGGGATCTAATATTCATTAAGCCAAGCTTTATCATTTTTTTGATATCTTTATCTTTATCACGGCGGCCATGAGTGAGCGGAGGCCGCGGGCTAGAGTGAGCAGAGGCCGGCGGCTAGAGTGAGCGGCGGAGTGGGGGCTTGCAGCAACCACATGTGACGACCCCGGGCTGGACTCCGCTTCGTCCACGGTGAAAGCCGATCC